TGGGTGCACTCTATGCCATATTCTGCACACATAATGCTGGGAAGTGGTGATGAACTAAATGGAAAAGATTCCTGCTCTCAGGAAGGTTTTGTTCTAGGAGGGGAGTTAGACAATAAAACCAATAAATGACAAGATCATTTCAGAGAGTAATAAGTGCTTGGGAAGAAGGTGAGCCACTGAAAATCTGGCCATTAAAAACAATGGAATGACGGTACTTTGAGTGGCAGCTCTATATGCTTTAGTAGAAGATTGTTGTTGATTTTTTCCACAGAATGCTTCTCTTTGCAACTGCATCTTATTGCTACCAAAAGATAAAGGAGGCTAAAAATTAGAGTGTATCAGTTTTAACATTTCTATGAAAGCAAGAACTAAACAATGGGTTTTAGATAAATATTAAAGGTTACCTACTCACTTCTAAGGAAATGACCAAATGATTACTTGATATTTTTCTTTTTAGCCGGATATTATGACATTGGTTGGAAACAGATATTCCACCTGTCATCATTTTACCATTTTAATATGGACAGCATAGTTTTCCCTTTATAAAATCACCACTTATTGGTATATTGCATCCCTACTGGGTTCACCTTAGAGATGGGATGAATCTTGTTTTCATTCAAGGACTACAGACAACTTTTATTTGGTTCTTCTAACTGTCCTGGCAGACCTAGGAGTTAGGTCATACTGCAGTGGAGGCTATGCATCAGAATATGCTTGGAGCAAATACCTAGTGCATTTATGATGGAAGTTCTTTCAACTGCTAAATATGCTCACACAGGGGCACGTGTACACACACACACACACACACACACACACACAGGACATAGGAACTGCAGATATCAAAAGGAAGAAAATGGAGAATATTTGAAAAAATAAACTTCAAAGTTCAAAAAGTATACATCTTCATTCAATTATTATCCAGAGAAGTGGGGGTATGGAGAGGGTACACAGCCAAGAATTTTTACTGAAGCCTTTTTTTTTAAACAAGCCTTTTAACTGAAATAAGTGAAAAAGAATGTTAAAAGCAAAAAGAAATCTTTGAGGTGAGGACGTTTTTGTGGAGAAGAGATAAAGATGGTTGCTCTCATGCTTGTGCAGGTAACAATCATCCTTTCAAGTATGCTACCTGCAGATGTTTTGATGAAGCAGAAGTCCACATTTTTCAGGTTACTAGAAAGTCACTGTTGAAAGCATTTCAGATCCATATTTACAAAGGCACAGTAGGTACTGAAATTCAGAGTAATCACTATCACTAGCGAGCTGGCCTCTAGGAGCATATTTTTCTTTCATAGCATATACCTCTTCTCTAATTACTCCAGAGGATGAGCCGATAAGCCGAGGTGTTTGTTGTTAACTGACTTTCATAGAACTTTGAAGGTCTTGTAGTCCAGAAGGATGGAAGGGCGCCCACCTTAGTCAATTCAATTTTAATTTCATGGAGTATTTCTCATTTGAGTCTGACATTAGGTTAACCTGAACATCTTAAGTTCATTTCTAAAAGTTTGTAAGTATGAGTTTCATACTTCCAAGAAGCATATTTTTCCTATTTCAGAAACAGATTTTTCTGACTCTTACTATATTTTGCATAGAATTATACTAAAGGCACATTAAGCAAGAGAAAAAAAAGAAGTGAAGGTTTTTTTGTTAGAAAATATAATAATTTTTCTACCCTTCTCATGAACACCGGAAAAACTATGGCAGGTTTTTAGATCTTCTAATGCCTGGCACATAGTAATTAGTGAATTTTGCTGAAGGAATAAACTAATGAATATAATTCTGAAACAATTTGAGGTTTCTTTAAAAGTCTACTTGTTGCAAGAGTCGATTTGTTAAAAGACATATATTTGGTTCACAGTAGTTCACATAAAATTTTTTTCAAGTTACTTTCCAGTATCTCACAGCAGGGTATGGTAGGAGTAGTTGTAACCTAGGAGTTCAAAACCCTTGGCTCTAGGCCAGACATCAACAATAAATGGCAGAATGGCTTGAGAAAATGATTTAACTCTGCTGAACTTCAGTTTCCACATGAGTGAAATGATTGCTTTGGAGCAGGTTACTTCTGATATTCCATGCAACTTCAAAATTCCACAACTGTATAATTCAAATTAAGGATAATTGGATCTAAATTTAATAAGCACTGATATAGTACCCATAATGTGTCAGGTAATATTATAAAGGTTTTATACAGCACTTAATCTTATAATAATAATAATCAAGCATAAACTGCACACAGGGTAGCATTTCATACACTGTAAATAAGTAAATAATAGTTGCTATCAAAATGATAGTAATTTTATTAAAATTAATATAGTAAAAACCATTAGAAAACTCAAATGGAAATAAAATATACTTGGAATTGAAAACAATGTAAAAATAAAGTGGTTATTTCATTTTAACCACTAAATAAAACACTAGCCATGACACATGACTTCGCATCAGTGTCACTATAAATAATTTGGGTTTTGTGACCATGAAGGCTCTCATACATATTAAATCATATAGGAGGAAACTTTTGAGAAACAAAAATATTCTACCAGTATCACATCTTACTATTTGTTATATATGTTTTAAGTGCACAATTTCTTTTAGAAAAATAAGCTAGAAACCATCATATTTTGCAGTAAACAGGAGAGCTTCTGAACATCAAAGAGGCATATTTCAGGAATGCAGTGGGCACAAGGTTTCGGGTGAGCTTAAAACAGAAAGCAATACAGTGAAAGAACGTTTGATTGGGAAGCTACTAACAGGCTTCAGTTCTGAGGCCTCATAATCATCCAAATCTCAAGCCAAAGGGCTGGAAATGGATGCAAATTTGGCAAGCCCAGTGATTTCCATGTCTGGACATGCTTTGTGAGTCCTTGTCCTATTACCTTGACAACTGTCAAGGCTCCACGAATTTTCATCCCCTCCTCACACCTCCTCTGCTGCTCCTCATCCTTTATGGCCAAAGCTGGGCATCACTTCCATTAAGAAGCTTTTCCTCAGCCATCCACTCCTGCTCCTTGTGAATGTCCCCCACCCATATGCTTCCATAAAACCTGGTATAAATCTCTAACATATTTCAATTATTCAGCCTACTAGGTTGCTATTATATTATTGGTCCATAGTCTTTCTCATTCAGTGACCTGAGCTCCTTGAGAACAGGAATTATGTTTTAGTTCATTGTTGGGTCCCCAGAGCCTTGCCTAGTGCTTGACACAAATGATACGCTTAAGAATTGACTGCTAAATGAATGAATGGATGGGTGGATGACAGCATTAACTGGTAATTATTACTAAAATGGTTAGAATCATTGGATCTCCTTCATGAATTATTATTGGCCAGAAAGTATGATGAGAATTGACTGTGTTCCAAGGGAGGCAGTGGAGGGAGAGGTGTATTTCCTGCATATTTGTGGAGTATCTTCATAATCAACAATTTGGTTTAGGTTATCCATTTTTTCCCCTTACTCTAAGAACAGTAGAGAAATTGGGGGAAAATGAAACACAGTTTTAAAAAAACCTGTTCAACACATATATACTGAACATCTGTTGTTCAAAGTGGTATATGTCCTAGGCAGACCCAGATTCTATCCTTAAAGAGACTATACTTTAGATATTTAAGAAACTCACATATAGGAAAAAAGTGATACTTGACACCTAAATGACCAGTGTTTACTAAAATGAAAGAACACATAATAAGGGTCACAAAAGTCAGAAATGTCAGATAAATTGGCTGGATTCCCAAGAAGACCCCATTGGGAAGGAGAGCTATGTTGGATCATAGTGTCTCAAAGCCTGTTCTCAGCTGTAAAGGTCCTGGACCCAGAGATGGTCAGGTCCAAGGAAATTGGCATATATACACATCAAGCTTACTGGAGCTTGAAAAACCAAAAGGCCAATGACCGGGCCAACTGGAAAGTTAATTATGATTTAAACATGGACTCAGAGAGAAGGAAGTTAAATGGTACTGGAGATGCCTCGGCCACACAATGCAAATGGGCAAGTTTGATTTCCCATACAGCCTTTCTCTCGGGGAATCAAAGACCAAATCCAGTATTTCCCTGTCTTAGACAATATTGGATAAATAGAGGACTAGGCAAATAGAGGTGTATGCCATTGATGGTCACTATTATCGGATTTCAGAAGAACTAAAAGATGGCATTCAGTCATAGAGATCAAAGAACATTTTATGGGAGAAGTGGTATTCCAACAATGTCTTTAAGATTACTTAGAGTTTGCAGCTGTGAATTGGGGAAGAACATTCTAAACAGAGGGAAATGATGAACAAAGAAAGTGAGTGGTTTGTTTTTGCTGGATACAGGGTATGTGATGAAGAATAGTACAGTATTATGAAGGAAAGCTGGAACCAGGTCATGGAGAAGCTGGAAAGTCAGTTATGAAGTTTAAATATTATTCTCTGGGCAACGAGTAGTCAGAGAAAAAGCACCATACCCCAGGGAAATGTACTCCAGGAAAATGAATTTGGCTGTAGTGTATGGCTTTGCTTCAGGTAAATTCCAGAGGCAGAGGCCAATGGGAAGCCTCAGAATCTCCAATGGGAGGACTGAAACTAGAACAGGAGTAGTGTAGGTGAAGCAGAGAGAGACTGCGGGTACAAACCAGGAAGTACCATGGTGTTCTCCTTACACACACATACATATACACACACTCACCCGAAGGCAAAATATAAAACTCTAAGCTACCCAACCAATACATGATTTTTTAAAAAAACCTGTCCTAATTTCTATGAAATTCTCCATTTATAAAGAACATAGTGAAAAATCATTGATCCATTTAGCCAATTTGGTTGATTTTGGCTTGTCTAAGTATAAAATTGGATAAATATGAGCTTTTCAAAGCATCAAAACAATGGGAATCTATAATTAAGGGACAGCTTCAAGGAAAGGAAAAAAATACCCTATATAAGTACATTTTCTCATCTCCCAAAACATTCCAGGTGATTTCTCCAAATAGACACTCTTTCAAACATTTTCTAACATGAGCTAACCCAACTAACAGGAATGCTGCAGAAAACAGAAACAGGAACTTTGTGAGAAGTTTGATTACTTGTATGGCATCCTGGAGGAGAGGAAAAATGAAATGACGCAAGTCATTACCCGAACCCAAGAGGAGAAACTGGAACATGTCCGCGCTCTTATCAAAAAGTATTCTGATCATTTGGAAAACGTGTCAAAGTTGGTTGAATCAGGAATCCAGTTCATGGATGAGCCAGAAATGGCAGTGTTTCTGCAGGTAAGTCTCCTTTTGGTACCTAATAGAACTAACCAAGAAGGTGGCTGCTGGAGAAGTAGTTGTCATCATATTTTTGTTATTTTTTTGTTCATCTCATTTCGATTTATTTTACCAAGTAAAATATAAGCTCATTATGTGTTCATGTCTCCATCCTTTTAAACAACTTCATAAGCATATATTTAAGGGACCATGACATCACTTAAATATAAGAGGGTTCTGGTATAAAACAGCAGTAATTCATGGCATTTAGAAACTAAGCTCTGAGATTTTCAGAGTCAGCAGAGGAAAGAATTAAGTCTTTGATGAAAAGAATTTAAGTAGGTCTGTCTTTTGTTTGCTTTCGCAGAATGCCAAAACCCTGTTACAAAAGTAAGTAATTTTCATTTTATGGAAAAATGCATACTTTTCATTTTTACCCAAGGCTATCAAACATTAGACAGTGACAGAAAGTGGCAACTTGTCTTTGTTGCAGAATTTCTGAAGCATCGAAGGCATTTCAGATGGAGAAAATAGAACATGGTTATGAGAACATGAACCACTTCACAGTCAACCTCAACAGAGAAGAAAAAATCATCCGTGAAATTGATTTTTACAGAGGTTTGTTTTTCTTGTGACCATTTGGACAAAGTTGCAGGTGTGTGAGAGCTGCAGCTGGGTTCAGCACGAGAAAGACGGGATTCAGAATCACCTCCAGAATGGATGTCGACAATTATACAAGGATCATAATCCAATGTGAAACTCTATTTCATTACAGATTCATGTAGTTGGTTGACAGTGTTTATTTAGCTTTGCACAGCACAGTGCCCATTATAATGCCATTATTGGGCATTTGACTCTGAGTAGTCAAATACTTAATAGTTGATGGTGATGATGATGTCTCAAGATCAATCTTACACAAGGTGTTAACCACAATGATGTGAAGTGTCATGAAGTGCAAGGTTAAGGATGAGATAAAAATAAAATGTAGAAGACATTGGGATAGCTATTGTAGCTCATCCACTTAATCAGACTTTAGAGGGCAAGAATAGCAAATGAGTCACAGAATAAGTCACACCTGGAAACAAAACTGGCTCTCTGTGACCAGCTGTATTTCATGAGTTCTAAATGCATCTCTACCATTTGGTCCAGAGATCGCCTTCTTGGAAATGTGTCCTCATGAAATAGTTGAAAAAAGGAAAATAACCTTGGAACTGACCAAAACTTTGAATGTCTTGATTCATCCTAGCCCATCTAGATGACAAGACTCCTCGGCTAGACCACTAATAACCATGAAGCTCTATCAGTGTGTACAGATGTAATTTTAGAAGCAAGTCTTCAGGATGAATCTTTTTTAAAAAATGACTTAATATTGTCTCTCCTTAATATTGCCTGAGGGAATATTAAGATCAATGTGTTAGGAAAAGAGTCACGGCATTAACTGTGGCAAAAGTCAGCATTCACTGAACAGAGGAGGTAAGACATTAAAACAAGACAGGGTTTTGTATGTTTTCTGAGAAAGGGAAGACAGTTGCATTTCTATTTAATCTGACAGAGATAAGTGACCATCCTAGCCCCAGCCCTCCAGGAGCTTGCAGATGTGACAGAATATGGTGTAAAGGTGACCAGGCTCAGGGCCGGGGGAGGGGGCGGGGTCAGGTGCACAGTTCACGGTAGTAGTAAGGACTGTACTTTGTATGGGGGAGGGGAACAAAGAGGGTGGTGATGGTTGGGCCCGTCCTCCCATTTCTCCTGTCCACATTTACCTAGAAGCACAAGCCCCAGCATGGCATACTTGGGCCATAGTCCAGTGTCTGATGGAGAAGATTTCCCTAGCCCTGACCTTATTATTCAGGGCTGTAAGAACTGGCCATTAATTGATTTCATAGCTGCAGTGATAATTATAATGATTTTAAAAACACATTACCTTACCAGAAGATGAAGATGAGGAAGAGGGAGAAGGAGAAGAAGAAGGGGAAGGGGAGGAAGTAGAAGTGGAAGAGGTAGAAAATGTTCGAACAGAGTCATCAGGAGAAGATGAAAGTCCGGAGAAAGCCTTGGAGCCCTCTCAGCCGGCCTCAGAGCTCCAGGCTGCCCCAGGGGCACTTCCAGCTTCCTCTCCAGAGTCACCTCCAGCCCTGCCACCTGCTGCAGATACCCCAGTGACACAGGTAACCATTCACCGGTTCCCTCCTACAGGACACACAGGTGTGCCTCCTTGCTGACTAGCCTAAACAAGTTGTTCTGCCTTAAGAAAAGGGTAGCTATAGTCCAGACATTTGTAAGTCAAAGACAAAAGAATTCAGAGCAGTCTCAATGTCAGGGGGGAGGTCCTCTAGGTGATTCAACAAGGTTCAGTGTTGTTATAATCTGTTGGTGAGACCGAGTTTAACACGATTTCCCCACCAATAGCACCCTCAAATCTGAAGCAATGTTTGGAAATCTCTGTGCAGGGGAGAGGGGTATGTGTGTAACATGTTAGTTCCTAGAGAGCCAGTGTCATGAAGATTGGGTCTGCTCTGAAAACAGATATGGGGTACAGGGTGAGAAATAATCTAAGGTGAGAAGTAAAAATGACTATACCTACAGAACTTTGAATTTTCTATAGATAATAAAGGAAGTAGATAGAGAAGTCATGCTAGTTCATGTCCCTGTCACTGACCCTGACATATAACTACATCTTTCATTAAGTGGGCAAAGAAACAACGTCTAATTTTCTATGTATCTGCCATCTGATGAGATTATGTGTTAACAGAATTGTTAATAGAAATTTCCTAGGAGATAACTCATCCCAAATCCTCTATCTGATTGGCTGACCCTTAGTTTCTAAGATGTCACCGTCCAGTTTTCAAGCCTTTGTGCTGACGTCATGACACCTTCAGCTGAGAGGTCTCGACCTGTGGAGTTTGTGGGCAATGTAGATTCATCAAAAAGGTGTCCTGGTTTTGCACCTGCTTTCAAAGTGCATTGAAATTATCTATAGAAACAAAACCTCAGAGGGGAAACTCTGAATTAGAGAATTATATTCTATGCTCCGTCTCCATAGGAAACCAGGCTGAAATACTATTTATGGTTCCTAGAATCTTGAAATTCTGGGTATACCAATCGCACTGAGTTTGAAAGAGGTGTGGTAACTAAATGAGAGTTGGAGGTGGTCAACAAGATCAATTTGGGATTTTAGAAAAGAGGTTTGGGGAGCCCACCTGGAATGTCAAAATATTAATCGTGGGCAGTAGATTGACCTTTCTCCTATATCAGATATTTTATAAGCAAACTTCATTTCAGGCATCTGCTGTCTGTCTGTCCAGGCTACCATCTGGTGAAGGACAAGCGCAGAAAAGAAATGGGGGCACGTGAAGGGGCCCAGAGGGAGGGGAGCTAGCTGCTCTCCTTCCCTGAGAGCTTGCAGAGGGCGGGACGAACTAGAACTTGCGCTAAATCAGGCACTGCACAGAGAGCTCATAGTTTTCAAACCCAAAGGGAACTAAAACCAACTGCTTTTTCCTCTTCTTCTTCCTCCTCTTTTTTTTACCTTTGAATGTATCTGTCCCGATTAAGGGGGAGGTTGTCCCCACTGGCTCTCAGCAGACCACAGAGTCTGAAACTCCAGTCCCTGCAGCAACGGACACTGCGGATCCCTTGTTTTACCCTAGTTGGTATAAAGGCCGAACCCGGCAAGCCAGCACCAACCCACCTTCCACCCCAGGGAGCGAAGGTCTGGGACACATAGGGCCTCCCGGTTCTGAGGACCCGAATGTGCAGAAGGCAGAAGTGGCAGAAGCCGCAGCTGGTGAGAGGGCAGCAGTGAGTGGTAAGGAAACTAGTTCACCTGCAGCTACTTCTCAGGTTAGTGTTGATGCTGTTGTGTCCGAATGCTCCCCCACGCCACCTAGCGTCCTGCTGGGCTCACAGCAAGAAAGAAGGGCTTCCGGAGGGGCAGAAAGAAACCCTGGCTGTGGGAAAAACACAGAAACAACTCATCCCACAATTTGGGCTTTTTTGGGGGGGGGGGGGCTTTTTGGTTTTTTTTTAAGGCTGGTAAAACAAAGAAGAAAACAGATTGACTTCACTCTACCCATATGTGGTGATCCCACACCTGGCGTCCCAGGGGAGGGGGTCCAAGCACGCCTGGCCCTGACGCTTGCAGTCCCTGCAGTCGAAAGCTGCTTTTTTCTCGATGCCTGGCTGCTGGCCCAGGTTCCCCTTCGCCAAGGCCACTTGCCCTTGCTCAGCCTTTTCTGTGTCCTCCCCGGGCTCCCAAAGACTAATCCCCCGCTTTTGTGTCATTCCCAGCAACCGTGAAGGAGCACGTTTGAACTGAGTTCTAAGTCCGCTCTGGAAAATAACCTCTGGTTGATTCATGGATTCTGGGAGTGTGCTGGCTATGGCTAGAAAAAGATAGTCTTGGCTTGATTAAACCAGCGCTTCCTAAACATGTGCTGCTGGGAGCAGAAAAGCACAGGTTTTCCTACACTGGGTTTTGTTTTGTTTTTTAAGGGTCACGTAATACCTTTTTATAACGTACTTTGAAGGCCATGTCTTTTTCCTACAATGGGTTAGATGTTTGCATGGCTCAAAGAGTTCCTAGAAGAAATATTCAATAATTTCTTCACAAGGAAGAATGCTCATGGTTGCTCCATACTCATGAACATTCTTAAATGATGGGTGGATATGAGTGTTGCCCAGACATGGGATGTCAAAGAAATACTCCCTGGTTCCATGCTCCTGGGTGATGTGATTCTGAACAACAAATAGCATTTTTCAAAAATCAGAAAGTTACTTATTGTCTTGACTGTATCTGTTCAAGTGAACCTTAATTTCATGAAGTAATAAAGGGAAATTATTTTTGGTAAACTGAAAGAAAGATACATTTGTGTCATATAGTTATTTTCACAAATGAAAAATGACAAAAAGAATTGTTTGGTGTGAGGAAACATTTTGAGGTAGTTTTTCAATTAAAAAGTGGAGTGTAAAGTTTTCTAGAAAATTTATGGAAACTTTATTTCTAGAAAGTTAATTGGATTTCTTACATATTTAGTGGAAGTTGGAGTCAGAAGGAGCTGTTTTCTGAAAACAGTGGTACAAAACCCCATAATAGGAGCATGTAATATGGCTCCAAGCCAAAACGCAAAATCCGTCTAAATGATGTTGAAAAATATTATTTGTGATAATATCAGTGAAGCTTTCTTCTTGTTTTCTCACAGGAGTTAGCAATCTGCCTAGCACTTTTGGCTTTTCTTATACTTCACTACATCTGGCGTCAGATTCAGTACTTGATTTTTGCTTTAATGGGTAGGAAATATTTTCTTTTCCCTTTACTAACATCTCATGCGGTTTCTTCCATAATGTTCCTACTCTATAGGCTTAAAGATAAATTTCTCCCCAACTTTGAGGCTCAGCCATTGAACAAGAACCAAGTTCTAGATAATACTCATGGCTTCAAGCTCCCTACAGTGCAATCACCTCAAGGTGCCTTCCTGAGGAGAATCGCTCCGTTGTCTAATGCTGCATGGAGGGGAATCCTGACTCAGAACAGTGACTCAGTGGGCAATTATTCAGTAATCCAGAAAGAGTGGACCCTCCGAAAGGGCCATGAGGGGAGGCCAGTTTCAAAAGGCATCAATAGTGCTGTGAGGATTCACTGCTCTTAAAGCAGAGGGAGGACCAGCAAAGGACTAGTTCAGGAATATATACGGTTTCCATAGATTTAGTAGCTACATTTCATTTGCTTACACCAGAGGCACCCAGGCTGTGGCCGGATGATTCCTGTCAAAGATCCGCAGGCAGTTCTTGCGCTGGTGGGCAGGTGGGCCAGGTGACTTCTCAGTTCTCTTTGAACCCTCAGACTCTAAAGTCTTTCCTGAGAGAGGAGATCTCTGAGAGAAAGGTATCCTGGGTGCAGCACCATCAAGGGGATTTCAGCCAGGTGAGATCTGAATGAATAAAAAGCAGGAAGATCAATGTTCATCCACCAGACATAAAGAATGAGAACCAAAGAAAAGTCATAAAACCAACAGCCTTTATTTTTGAGATGCCTTTCTCATAGCCAAGCCTTTCCTTAATGACTGTTAACAAGATTTGCATAGGAACTGACATCTTACTCCTTTAACAGCCTTTTGAAGATTATCAGTTTAATAATATTTAAAGATTCAAACCTCCTGTACTTTTGAGTAAATGACCCTGCTGGACCTGAGGCCCAGCTCCCTGTGCCTGTAGCTCAAAAGCAATTCAGGGTGACTGGTGCTGAAAGGCCTCAGCTATTTCTGGCTCATTGACTTTATCCTGGGTTGACATTGACTCTTCTGGAAGCTCCCATCATAGTTCCTTTCTGCCTCATTAGCTGTCCGTTCAGCAATGACAGTAGGATCTCCATGGGTCCTTGTGATGTCACCAGTGGGTGACTAGGATCTGCTCCCAATGTCTAATAGTCAGCCAGAAACCTGTGTACCCGAAATGTTCCTAGTGTCCTTAGAGTCTGCTCATGATTTGTGGCAAAGAGCAGTGGGTGGAAGCATCGGCCATGGACTCAGTGGGGCAAATGGGGGAGAGAGAAAACTGCATATTTTATGGGAATATCATGAATAACTGTGGATCTGAATAATTGTCTGAAGAGTTCAGTTTACATTCTGAGAATTCAGGTTTGGGGCTTTGTTGCCATAGAATGCTTCTCTGAGGCTGCAGGGGGAGAGTCATGCTTCTTTTCTGCCATCCACTGAGCCCATGTCATGTACCCCGACGTTCACATGCCTGTCTGCTAAGATAAGGGTGAGACAGATGGGAGCACTCTGGAGTAAGTGATTGGCATTCACTGTTGCAAAGAATATGGACAGATCAATAGAGACCTCACCATAGTATCAGATTCCTGGCCTCTGTGGATTATTTGCAGGCCTGCTTTACTTTCACCACCTCAGAACCCAACTCACTAAATTAGTATTTGTCCAATGCAAGGTTAGCTTATTAGAATTTCACACTTTATCCTTAGTCTTTCCCTGGACATTTAGGATGTGATACAAAAGCTCTCCTTGATTCCCAGGTGGTCTTACCTCTCTTTACTATGTGTCAGGGAATAAGCTTGCCTGAGAATCTCAAGCATTTCAGGCTTACCTACTGATCTGTAAACTCACTTCAGTCACCTTCAGACTTTTAAGAAGGCAAATGTTCTGTCTCCAGGTGCTTTCTTCACAGCCATTCACACAGTGAAACCTGCCATTGCCTTTGCTGCCTGTGATTTCTGATACCATACAATCTCCACTTTATCCCGTGCCTTCTCTTTTCACCTAATCACACAGGCAATCCCCATCAGTGGCAAACTGGGATTCTGCTTTTTGTTAGATCAGACAAGCATTGTTGCCTTCCCCGCCCTCTTTCTTGAAAAAAATAAATTTCTCAACAAGGTTTGGCTTAAGCCTTGTGGCAAAACTGAATTCCACAGAAGAGAGACTCTTCTGCAGGATGCACTTTGAATCCTGTAACATCCTATTACTCCCAGAAAACCCCGTGAAATCCCCTGGACACGAACTGGTCTTTAGCTGCAAAATTGCCCTTTAAGTTTCCACCTTTCTAGGCCATACCTGCTGTATGTTCAGTCAATGCAAAGAGAGTTTGGGGGAAATAACATTTGATCTACTTCATGTATTAATGTTTACATTTTTTTTTGAAAAGGTGACATCACACCCTAGTCAATCTTAGAGGACAGGGCAGTAATAAGGTGGGAAGAAGGCAGGTCAGCTGCCCTTGGAAAGCAATCTCTGTGAGCCTCACCTCCTGGGCATGCCTTGTGTGGCCATTTCTGGGTCCAGTCTGCTTCCCTCCATTGCCCTTCCTGAACTTCCTATACAACTTACATGCAGATTACACCTGGGTGCTAAGACAAGGACGACTCCTACCACCCACATTCATAGACAGTTGAGTATTTTGTTGGGGATATATGTGGCAGTTAGATTTTTCCAGAAGTGGGAGCAGCAACAAAGAAAGACTCTCCCTGTTCCCCTTCCTCCCTCCCTAATGAGGCTTAGTGGCCTTGTGTGGAAGAATTTGTCCAAAGTGTTTAAGGGGAGCTGTTCAGGGAACAGGGATTTCCAGAGAAATGTCTTCCTATTTGGTGGATTAAGTAGGCAGCTGCTCCGGGTGACACCTGAGCTGGACCATGGCAGCTGCCCCAAGGTCAGAGGACCTCCCGTTCACCCCGCCCCCACACCCCAATCAGAATCCGTTGCTTTGGAGATAGGGACTTTGACATTAAAATTGCTGCAATTTCTGCCTCTTTAAAGAAACTCAACTCATATATTTCACCAGAGTATGAAGCTGGGTTACCAGAGTATGAAGTTGTGGTTATAAGAGAACCTAGAAGATTTACTGTATCATAGCTCCTTGTTTAAGAATAGAACATCTACTTTTCACATTCCATTCTTCAAGACTGAAAATAGACAAACGAGTTGGGTAGAAATTCTGCCAAGTCTAGGGCACTGGAAGGATCCATAAAATTAGTAAAAAGGACTTAGGTTCCTGTCCTGCCACTTCTCTGCACTGACTTTGGGCATTTACTTTCTTTGAGCCTCAGTTTTTTCACTGGGAAGATGAAGCAACTATTCAAAGAAAAGATTCATTGATTTACACAGTAGAGAGTGAAACATTTAGTACTAAGAATTGTATAAATTATCTCAGGATGTTTTCACTGAGAGGGTTACAGACTCAGGCCTGACACAAGCCACGCTAAGGGACAATAGTAACAGGTTTTCGGTGAAATAGACAACCCATCGCATTTCTCAAAATACATGTCTTGCCTTGAAGCTCTTCCATTAACATCCATTTCCCAAACTCTTCCAAATATCTTCCTAGGCACCCTT